TTGATGTGAGTTACGCCTTTGAATCTTAGAGGTGCCAAGGTCTTCTTTTTGGGTCGGATATGGACTTTTGAGGTTTCAAACCCAGTTCCGTGAATTAAAAAGAATGCTGAGAATAGAAAATTTGTATGGATTATTACTCTGTACAACTTATATTATTAAAGAGGCAAAAAAATTTGCGCCCGTGAATATTCACGGATAAAATTCATGACGGATAGTTGGTATCCACAAATATTTATTATCTGTGGATTGCAGGTAGTATGTTTTTTAATATCTGCTTATAAACAGGTCGGATGCGGGTATTATACTATTTGTACCCGCGGATATTCACTACCTGCAAAAAATAAAATAAAAAATTTAATTTATATTTTATTAAGTTAAATTTAATTAAAATTAACATTAATTTATATTTTATAAGATTAAATATAATTAAAATTAAAATTTAATTTATATGTAATTTAATATATATTATATTTTATATATTTTTTGTAATTTTATTTAAGTTTTATTATAATATTTTATAAAAATATATTTTTTTAAATATTTGTGGGTATCCGCGGGTATCCATGGATATCCGCGGGTTTTAAATATCCGTGGATATTTTTTAAACGAATATTCATGCGGATAGTAGGTGAATTTTTTTTTGTCAGATCGGGTTGCGGGTAGACACTATTCGTGTCCGACCCGACCTGTTGCCATCCAATTAAAGAATGAGTTTTCCTTTTCTAACCATTTTTTATATATTGATAATGAAGCTTTTACTTATCAATTGAGAATTAATGGTTTTTTTAACAGATGAAAATTTTTATATGATTTAAGATGATATAATAAAAATTAAAAGAAATATATACTAGATTTCACATAGGTATAACATTATAATCGCACAATATGATTCAACCTATTTATTGTTTATCATGCTATCAAAATTTTAGAAATTAAGTTATACATATATTAATTTTGAAAATGTCATTTATTTATTGTTCCAGACGTTGTTACAGTGAAGTTTGTCAATGATGTAATATCCTTCATCAACCCGTGATCCCAAACTAAATTATATATTTGCCTTCATAATTGTACTATTTATGTAATAGTTGTTAATATGAAATGCAAAATGATGCTACTTTTTTGTTTGTATACCTCTCGGGATGCATAAACATTTTTTTATTAACATGAATAAATAATATATGCTATTACTATAATTTTTTAAGAATTTCATCTAATAGGTATAATATCATTATTAACTTTAATATTATGTATTTAAAGTTGTTACACATATGACTTTTTATTTATTTATAATATAAACTTACGCTAAAAACTTTGGTCTTGACTTACAATATTGACATGTACTCATCCTAATTAGATATGCAGATGTCTAATTAGCTACCATCAAAATTAAAATGTTAATATAGTTAATTCAAAAGTATTAAAATAAATATGAAGATAAAATTCATAAATTGATTAAAAATTAAGTATAAAATACACATTGATTTTTTAAAAGTCAATTTTAATATTAATATGGGTCAATCGAGAGGCAGCAAAAATGCATTTTGTTTTGTTTTTCTTTAACTAAAATATACGTTTGGTCTCTAGACATATTGTTAGAAACAATTTATCTTTTAAAGATTTATTTTGTTCTTTTATTCAGATAAAGTTACACACACCATATTGCAGAAAAGAGGTTCATACACAGCACACAGCAAAACTTATGCAGATTTTACAAACTTTCATGAAAATAAAGAGATTGCACAGAAGGAGCAGTTGCTACCATGGATCAAACCTCAAACTCCACAATAAACCTTGAGAGCATTTTTTGTATTCTCAGAAGAGTGAAGAAACTTCATGAACTCACTCTGGACAAAGGGCTTGAAAAGCAAAGGGTGCTCTTCTGTCACAAGCTCATCTGGGGCCTTTATTATGGACCCTGGTTTTGGAACTGTGAACAATCCAATGGTCAATCTTCTTTCATTTCCAGTCATCATCACTCTGTGAATCGGTGTATGCACCCTCCCATTAGTCCATGCCTGCAACATATTTCATTCAGATCCTGCATTATTCATCAAATATTTGATGTGTCACATTTTCTTTTTGTAGTAGAGAAAGTGGAAGTGTACATAGAAATTACATAAAATGTGTCCCCAGTGACAACAACGAAACTGTTTGACGTTGAGGGCTTGAATTTGATCCACTCTCCACTTTTGGTCTGTATCTCCAAGCCATCAATTTGATTCTGACATAATATGGTCAATATGTTCTTATCAGTGTGCTCTGATATGGCAACTTCTGATTCATCAGTTTGAGGGGCTTTGTACTTGATAAGCCGTGCAAGGTAATATGTGGAGTTCATGTGCTCATCCAAATACTTTTCAACACCTAAACTCTCCAAACACATCTTCCTTATCATCTGATCCAACCTTGCCACTTTCTCAGACAAGAGTTGCAGATTTTTGCTGTCATGTCATCAACAACAAAAGGGTTCAAAAGGGTATGCTATTTTATGATGTAATTAAAAGTTGCTGTTTCACTAGCAAAAGGGTATGCTATTTTGTAACTTTTCTTATGCTCAAACATGAATGGTAAATCACAAGTGTGAATAAAGAGTAGTTTGTTATGTGTACCTAAAACTTGGTTTTCCTTGTGGCCATAAGATGTTGATAAAAGTTTCGACTTTGTCATGAACATCAGCATCGTCAATTCCGATGCTCTCATAGAGATGAATAGGACCAACATAACCACGATATGGTTTACTTGAGACGGCTCTTTTCTTGGTTTCTAAAGGAAGATTGAATAGCTCATCCACTTCAAGAAATATGGCTTTTCGAAAATGCAAAGGGACTTTATCAAACACAGCCTCAAAGCAACCATACTCTACGAGTGCTTTGTGAACTTTGGATCTCACTGACTCCCACTCTTCAACATTGGATTCCAAGTTCTCAGTTGAGAAGTCAATAATTGGAAGCTTCACTTCGCTCTCAGATCCCATTTTTTTTTTCACCTGAATCCTCTTAATGTGTTAATTGATTTGGAAGGAGATACTTATTTGCATCAACTGAATAGTTTGAAGTTTCTCATGTTATTTGAATAATTCATGCATAAATGCAATCTTCCATTGTGACATTAAAAATAATTGTTTATTGTTCAGAATTTAGAGGAGTTTAAGTCTAGAAATTAAAAAATTGAATACTTTAAATCTATAAATTTATTTTCTTAAATTAAAAGTGGTGTAATTTCAACCAACCACGTTACTTATAATTGTATCAATATTTAGACAGAAATAGATGACAATTTAATAGATCAAAAAATATTTTCTTAAGAATGAAACCTTTTACTTTTAAATCAAGATTATCGGATAAAAAAAAATTCCTTAACCAAGATCTTCGTACACCAATTCAATTTTTTTAAACAAGATCATCTTTAAAAATGTTATCATTTTGTTACGGAATACGAAACTGACTTGAAAACAAAATGCAACGGCAGTTGCCTTGCATAGTGTAATTCCACTCAATCATTTATCTTGAAATTTACTTTTTTACATGTTTTAGGTGCATTATTTGATTTATTTTTTAAATTTAATCTTGTCAAGAACTTATGTAAAGGACAATTTCTCTTGCAAGAAAAAGTCAAAGAATTTTTTTTAATCTGAATAGAATAAATGGTGACGTTTTATACGAAAATTTGTGGAAGAGTTTAATAATTAATTATCGTGGATTAAAGCCAATGTCCAAAGGTATGAATGGATTTGCTGAGATCATATGATTGGGAAATTATACGGTGGTCCTGTAAAATAAATAAATAAATAATATATATATATATATATATATATATATAATAATAATAATAATAATAATAATAATAATAATAATAATAATAATAATAATAATAATAATAATAATAATAATAGAGTAGTTTGAGTTAAAAGTACAAACAAGTTGGTTGAGATAAAATGTAAAGACGAATTGATCCAGTTCAAAAGCAAAGACATGAAGTTAGAGTCGAAGGTTGGAATGGGTTAGACCGATCTTCTAATGTTGAAGGTTAAAATAAGTCAACCTAAACTAAAGTTTTAGACACATCAACCAATAACGAAGATCAAATCAAGTTAGTCCTAATAGATGATAAAGATAGACTAGCCTAGGTAAAAGTCAAGATGGGCTTTGAATAAATGTGAAGACAGATTAAGAAAAGCTGATCATGCTAACTATCAAGATGGGACAACCTGACCCAAGGTTCAGGTAAGCTGTGTTGAAGGTAAAGACAGGTCGTCTAGACCAAAGTTCAAGATAGATTGTTTGAAGTTGAGATTGTGACAGAATTACCAGGCTTACCGTCAAAACAGGGTGGCCTAGGTTGATGTTCAGAATAGACCAATTCGATTCAAACATAAAGATGAGTTGACTCGAGCCAAAGATAAAGATGAGTCATCTGAAACCAAAAGATCAAAACAAACCATTTAGGTCGACGAGACGGTCTTGTCTAGACAAAAAATGGAAATAGATCAATCCAATTCAAAAGTAAAGCCAAAAACAAATGTACATAATAGACTAGCACAAAATGAATCAATGAGTTAACAAACAAAGTCGAATCATATGAAAAAATTGAAACTATATATATTTTCCTTGTACCTCATTTTAGTGACTTTCTTTATCCGTTAATCTTTATAGAAAGTTCAGAGGAAAGTAATACAGTATTTACTTCGTATATAGAATTTTATTGTTTTTTTTTTCAATTAAATGATTTATCGGAGTAAAAAATAACACATAAGTTCTTCCATAATTAATGCAGTATTTATTCGTTCAATGATGAACAAATATAATAAATACATTTGATATTTAAAAAGTTATCAATATTTTAAGCTTTACATTAATTTCTCTTAAATCAATATTTGTATGAATGAATTAAAATATATAGTTGTTATAAAAAATAATTATTTTATTATTGATGAAAATATGTGATTGATTAAAAACACTACACAATTTCTTTATGCTATCGGCATATGGTGAATTTAAACTAGTTAGTTGGAAGAGTGATGGTATTCCAAGCACAAAAATTGTTTTGAGCAAGAGCAGTGATATTGTTCTGTAGAGAGCGTTGCACACGATGGGATCCCAAACACAGTCTGAACTGCATGTGGTGGACTTCACTGATGCAACCATGAAGCCTGGCACCGATGCATGGTTCTCAGCCTGCACTCATGTGAGGGAAGCACTCGAACACAACGGTTGTTTTGTTGCACGATATGATAGAATTGGCAAGGAGCTTTCTGATTCTGTGGTATCTGCAATGGAAGAGTTGTTTAGTCTCCCAGTGGAAACAAAAGCACAAAAAACCAGTGACAAACCTTTCCATGGCTACTTAGGACAAGTCTCATGGCTTCCCTTGTATGAATCTTTGGGCATCGATGACCCTCTCACCTTACAAGGCTGCCAAAAATTCGCCCACATAATGGGGTTGCAGGGGAATCATCGTTTCTGGTAGGTACCCTTTTTCCTTTCCACTCATATTTAATCTAAAACAAGGGATATCTAAATCACTATTCTCTGTGTGGTTCATTCATGATGTGTTTTTCCTACTGAAAATAGCACTTGATTCAAAGGGTAACCCCATTTGCATTTTTTCCTGTGTTTGAAGCAAAAAACTACAAAAGGAAATTACTTTACCAATGAACCACAAACAAATCGCTCTGAACTTTTTCAAGCTAAATAGCTGTTCTTTGCTTTTCGTGCTTGCCTCTTGATAAGAGTAGGATCTTGGCGAAAAAACAACAAATAGAAGAGAGAATACGATATTTCCAACCACGTTAACTTTGTTTATGATATGATTATTGTGTGCAAAATTGGTCATGGTAGAAGTTTGATTTGTCCAAATATACAGTGAAAGCATCAACGAGTATGCTAAGTTGCTGGGAAACTTAGACCGTATAGCAAAGAGAATGGTGTTCGAGAGCTACGGTGTGAACATGGAAGGATGCAACCGCATGATAGAATCAAGCGATTATCTGCTTCGGTGCATGAAATATAAAACACCTGAGACGGATGAAAAGGATTTGGGAATGCATTCTCACACAGACTTAACCATCGTATCGATAGTTCATCAGCTGAATAATTTGAATGGCTTGGAAATCAAACTGAAGGATGGAGAATGGATTGGGGTTGATGCTTCTTCCTCCTTGTTTGTGGTTATGGCAGGTGACGCATTCAATGTGAGTACACGCACATATACATAAACCCCAATTTTGTAAAGCTTGTTTGTTTTACATAATTATTTAACTCTGGTGCATTATATATTAATGGCGTAGGTGTGGAGTAATGGTAGAATACGTCCATGTGAACACAGAGTTACCATGAATGCAACGAAAACGAGATATTCTATGGGACTGTTTTCTTTCAGTGGTGATAAGATTATGCAGATACCGGATGAAGTAGTGAATGAGCAGCATCCCTTGCGTTATAAATCAATATTCGACCATTATGAATACCTTCGTTTCTATGAGAAAGAGAAAATCAAAGACCCTTATTCTCGAATTGAAGCCTACTGTGGAATCTCATCCCTGTAATATGAACGAAGATGGAAGTGTTCTTGCTTTTGTGTATGAATAAGTTGGATTGCATGCATTGCTGCCTTTATGTGTGTTACTTTTTTGTTGATAATTTGTGAAACCACTATGATATATGATACAATAATCTTTTCTTCTTCTTCCTGTTTGATGAATTGCGGCACCTGTATGAATTGAACGCCCTGATAATTGTTTATGGTTAAAAATTGGGTTTTATGATGTCTAATCGTTAACACAGTTAAATATGTCTATTTGGAAGGCTTGGTACTCGTAGACATAATTTCAGGCAAAAAATACTTTACATGATGAAAAGCCTTCATTAAAAAATTTCATAAAATCAAAAATATCCACAAAAAATCTCTTCCACAAGTTAATTCATTTATTCTTTTTAAACTAAAAAAAATATTACCTTCTAAAATATATTATTGAACACAATAATCTATCTCAAATTTCAGACTGAAACATTCTGTTTCGATCTTTTACCTAAATTATTTTGTCTTAAACTTAATACGAGAGAGTTCGGTTATGATCAACTAGACAATCTTAAAATTCTTAAAATTACATGTTAAAATATAATATATTTTGCATATACATAACAATAGGACAAGTTACGAAGAACATATATACCAGTTATATTATTAAACACTTCTGAGTTATAATGTATGCATTTGCATTTTTTTAGAGATGATTTTTTTATATTAGAACTCTGATTCTTATCAAAGATTAATATTGTTGTGGCGAATCTTCACTTAACTTATCAATCTGCTAGATTGTGGTGTTACCATTTCTGTTTTATTCCGAATTATTCTCTAATTTATTTTCTTGAGGATTCAAATTCAAAAAAGATCATACTCTTTCTTGGAAAATATTTTTCTACATTGTATGGTACATACCCTTTTGGTCAATAAAGTTAGACCGACTACGAGCGACTAGTAAACCTTTGGACTAATCACCCAAACCACTAGCTAGATCGACGAGTACACTCTTAGGCCGATCATCTAGACTGACTGGCGAGACTAACCAGTACACCCTTGGTCAATCATTTAGACTGACTGGTGAACCAACCAGTACACCCTAAGATCAATAGTCCAAATTGATTGGCAAGAGACCGACCAGTTGTAGAATAAAGATCAGATTAATCCTTAGCCAACGATAACCATGAATCAACTAACTAATGTTGATTAAGGTATAATTGAACTATGATTAGGCCAACAAAAAAGATAAAAATTCATAACAACTACTATAAATAAAGGTTTGAGGTATGATTATTTACACACATGTATAACAATATTTAATACTCATTTACTCGAATCTTATTCAAGTACCCTCTCAACTGTGTTGATGATCCACAAGATATGAAACTTGAAAACTAATTAGAGCAAGAGACATAAGACTTTCAGAACGAGTAAAATGAAAATTACTTTACCTTACATAAACAAGTATAAGTATCATTGGGCTTGACTCCTTAGGAATACAATTTTTTTTTTTGGCATACGAGGATAAGTCAAATAAAGAGTAAAGAATAATATGAAACTTTTTCTTTTATTTTAACCAATACTGCCACTGTAGCCTTATAAAATAATCTTATTAGAATCAATAATCAGAAATGAAGTATTTATTATTATTTATGAATAATCAATTATATGATTGTTAAGAGATAAAACGTAATTAATTGACTTTTATCACTAATATATTATTCAATAGATCAATTTTATATGACTTAATAAAGAGATATTGGACGTCCCATTTTTGTTTTATCTCATTTGGTATTGTTCACGTTAGCTTTTTCTAAAGACGTCCAACGATAATGGCAAGACATTATTTTTTTTTGTGTTCTTTATTCAAACTAAAATGTGACGCGGGATTAGAAATATTATTATTTGATTGTTACTTTGTTTATCCTAAAATAATTATCTTCTAATATTATGACACAGTAATTAATAATTTTTCAATTAATACAAAATCATTAAAAATAATCTTAATTTTCGACTACTATTCTTTTTTCTTTCAATATAAAGTTGTACTATATTAATTATTCTTATTCATATATAGGGTTGTCGTTAGAAAATATATCTTATTGTAAAAAGCTAAAAAGCTATTTTGAAATGAAAATAAATAACCAAAAAACTGTTATTTTAAAAATTAAAGTAAATGTGTCACGAAATTTTATCTTTTTAACTAATTTTTTCTATTTAAATAATTTTACAAAATTAATCAGTTTAACTTTTCTTTTAATTTTTTGTGAGTTTGACCCATTGAGACACTAACTCATCTCTAAGTAAGACGAACTAAAGTGTTTCAGTCCATTACCTATTTCTTGACTAACTTGTTTTATGATCTTCATAAAATTTTAGGACTCACACATAATTATAAAACTTATACGAACTTGACCAATATGTGATGAGGACTAAGACTATATGTAGATAGATTAGACTATATTTATGTTCATATCAGAAATGTGAACTACCTTCGTCCAATGAATCAAAAGCTTAATGAATAGGTATAAACTTTTTATTTGCAATGAATAATTTCTTGTGAAGTTCTCTTAATTTTTATCTATGGATTTGTATTGTTAAAACTTCATTTTAAATATTAATAATTGTACTATAGTATTTTAAAAAAATAAATCGTAAAGTCACATTTTATTGAGCTTGATTTCTTATTTTATATATTAACATTTTATTATTATAAAAAATTTAAAATTTTCAACTTATTGAACACATAAAATATGTGTTTATTTTATATTTTTTATTTGTTTAATGCAGCCCAGAAGTCCTATAGTAGATCCTTGATTAAGTATTTTATCTTAGTAGTTTTCACAGCAACATTGTGGTCCAATGAAAATAATATATTTTGTGTGAAACATATATATATAGATAAAGATGTCGTTAGATATATGGTAGAGTTGGTGAGAAACTGTACAAATGAAGATAATAACATAATTGGGACCACAAAATAAAACAAAGTGTGAATTCATTATATTTTAACATATGGCTGACATAATAAAACAAAATATATCAATTGATGGACCACTAATTATAGCAGTACTTAACTATTAATTAATTAATTAATTAATATATCTATGAACATTTTATAATACAAAACAAAAAAGATAAAAGCTGCCAAATTGTGGGGGACCTAATTGTTTTTCTAACAATTCATGGATAATTATACATAGCAGTATAATGGTAGATATGTCCAATATATTTATTTGAAAAACCATCTCTATTGTCCTGTTTTTCATTTGAATATTGTGTTTGGATTATTACACGTTATTTTCTTCCGACTTATATAATGTGTTCCGGCGTATACTTGAAGCATTTTTATTAGGATATTACTGTTGCATTATATATAATACCGAAGCAAATTTGTTTTTTTTTTCATTAAAAATGATAGATTTGATGTGAATTGAAACAAATAATTTTAAGAAAATATGAAAGAGACGAGAGTGGTCCTTATAAGCTTTCTGGAAGTAGGGGACCAACTCTATATAAATGAAGATAATAATCACCTAAAATTGGGACCAGAAAATGAAACAAATTCTTGTAAATTATTTTTCAACATTTGTTTTCTTTTTTCAAAATGAAACAAAATATATATCAATTCTTAGATCAATAACCATTGTTATACTTAACTAACATTCAATATTAACTTATCTATGAATAGAATACATAAGAAGATATACATGCACAACTTTCAGGGGGCTAAGTTGTTTTAGTTTCTATCAATTGATCAACAAGTATTTATATATTAATGTAAGAGCATGATTTGACAATTTTTTTAGAGTATTTTAAAATATTAAAAAAACGAAATATTTATTTAAAATTAAACTTTACTTATGAATAAGAAAAGTTTTTAATTATAAATAAAATATTTTTTACTTATAAATATTCATTTTTATTTTTTTCATAAAAACTGTTGTACAAAAGTTTGTCCATATATAACCTAATCGTATATCGACGTCTTCACCTTTTTACTTTGTGGTTGATTTCACTGATGCAATCATATAACATGGCAAGGTCATTATTTATTTTTTAAAAAGTTTTATTGATTAAATATAAACTTATTTTACAATATATAATTTTATATATAAGAACAAATCAGATTGAAACTCACCTTCTAACGTGATATTACAATATATAATCTTGCCATAGCCCACTTGAGATTCAACAAGATTAAATAAATTTTATGAATATATGGGTAAGTTTCAATCAATAAAGAAATTTATCTAAAAGTGAAGGATTATTGGTTGTTGTATTCCAAAAGTTGCATCTAAGATAATTGAAATCAAATATAAATAGAGAGATGTTTTTAGTTCCAAAATGCAAGTAAATTTGGTAAAAGAGTAAGAGTAGAAACGTTGAGAAGGATTATGATGGGATCAGAAACAGAGAAGAGAAAATTTCTACCTATTATTGATTTGAGTGATGAAAAGATGAAACCTGGTACTCAAACATGGGTTTCCACTTCTGATGCTGTGAGGAGTGCCTTAGAGGATCACGGTGGATTCCTTGCACACTACAATAAGGTTGATCAAATGCTTACTGACTCTGTCTTCTCTGCAATGAAAGAACTCTTTGACCTTCCATTAGAGACAAAAGTGCAGCAGACAACTGATAAACCTATCTATAGCTACGCTGGACAACGCCCTGATATTCCTTTGTATGAATCCATGGCCATCGATAACCCATTGAATGCTAAAAATTGTCACAAGTATGCAACCGTTATGTGGCCACAAGGGAACCATCAATTCAGGTAATTAACTAATTAATCTTTTTCAATTTTTTTGACGTCAACCGAATCTATGTTAAGAGTTATTGTAACATAAATGAATTTGTACATGATTTTTCCTTAAAATTTACTTTTATCAAACATTTTCCTTTTGTTTTATTTAGTGAAAGTGTGAATAGCTATGCAAAGAAAGTTGCAGAACTGGATTATACTGTTAAGAGAATGGTGTTTGGGAGCTATGGATTGGAGAATGAGAAATGTGAGCGTTTGGTTGAATCAACGGATTATGTTCTGAGATGCTACAAATACAGAACACCTAAGACAGGTGAGACCAACTTGGGAGTGCGTGCTCATACAGATTCTGGCTTCCTTACAATATTGAATCAGAGGTT